TACCCTTTCTCATTCTATTAAAAAAAGCATATAGTGCTAGGGTGGCATGGTGGGACAGTGGTAGTTCAGGTGGGTACCTGCGTTAGCGTAGGCTGCAAAGGAACAAGTAATAGGTTTATTCCATGCTGAAAAAAAGAAGAAAGAGAACACAACATTTCGGCCGTGGAGCCTTCTTCAGGTGTGAGACAGTGGTTGGGACAGTGGTTAGCATTGCAGGCTCGCAGTGCTGGAGCCCTGGATTGAGATCAGGACTTGGGGTGCTATCTGTATGGAGTATGTTCTCCCCATGTTTGTGTGGTTTTCCTCCAGGTGCTCTGGAGGCCACAAAGCTAACAACTGTGCCTCCATGCTGCCCCTTTTCTGACCCCCTCCATCATTAATTTAGTTATAAACTGTTGTCTATTGTTATAAACTATTGTCACTCTCTCCATGGCTCTGTGATGGACTTGTCCATATGACTCAGGGGTGAGCTTCCCCTTGCACTGACCCTCACCAGGGTAAGAAACTCATTGGTAACAGTTGAATGCATGTAAATTAATGTACTGTTGAGAAAGCCAAGTTAAACAATTAATTACAGTCATCGTATGTGGTGTAGCTTTAACCAAGATTTGGCACCAAACAAAGCACAAAACAGACCTATAAAATAGTGATATCTGGTTGTCTGCTAGTGTGCACCATGCTAGGCCTGATACGGTTATTCATGCAGCATGAATTATTAATATCTGTGCCCTTGTCCTACATGGAAACCTATTAAGCAAGCTATATAAGCTAGGTTCTACACAGTGGAAACCCCAATTTTCAGCAATATTCAATGTTTAACATACATCACTTCAACATAATCTTGAGGAAGAATCTTCTTGTAACTAATATATATTTTGAAAAAACTCATGAGGGTTTATAATTAGGTTGTGTTATTGTTAAAAGATGCACCTTTCAGAATTAGAGGTAATAATTCTTCTAATAATAATCATAATAAAGATAATTGTGTTGTGTAAACACAGATGCTGACACGCAAGTACAAACTGTGTTTGATTCACAAATTCTACATCATAGAAAACAAACATTTTTTGTTTTCCTTGCTCCATTAAAATGGCTATTGTGACACCTGTAAGGTTGCTGGGCTCTACCTGGCTGATTCTCTAGGGGGTAAATCCTATAATTGGCCTTACATATACCTTATCCCTAGAGAAATGCAATTACAGCCCTTTCTGATTAGCTTTTTCTACTACAAACACAAAATCTGGAATGTTAAATGGGGTAGATACTATACTTTATCCTAGGCCAATAACAGACTTCCAATACAACTTTACTTGATATTCTGTTAAACTGTATAAACCTATATAGTTCCCAACAATGGTATATCCGAACCATTAACAGTCATAAAATCATACCAAGTGAATGCACGGTAGATATGTCTGGACAATAAGTGGCAAACTATTCTTAAACAAACACATGGAATGGAAGTATACAGGTAACAGGTAACATCAGAGTATTTGGAAACCAATACTGGCAGTAAAGATGTGTTTCTTCAGGAGAACTCTTCAATGGTGAATGAAGTTGTACTTGATCTGATATAAACTGACAAAGCTAACTATGAAAATTCAGCCTTGTCCTGATACTAAAAGCACAATAACTACATGAGCTCATTGATGTGTTGTCGCAAAATGCACCCTTCAGAACATGGTTTTTACACATTCTGATTGTGCAGAGCAAATACAGTGCATGTCAAAAGTAAACAGAAAATGCTTCAAAATTACTTTTGTTGTTTTCTTTTCTAAATTCACTTCACTTCTTTATTCAAGTGCCTTAGTTTGTTCTAAGGATTTGTTCCAACAATTACATTGTAATAATGGAAAACTGGGGGGGACAAAACTCAAAATTAAGCTTAATTTTTCTCTGTTAAAATGTTGACATCAAAAGAATGTGCTCTAGATTTATGTCTCTTATTTTAGTATCCCGTGTTATTAAATAAATTTGAAAGCAGGTCTTGGCCTTTACATTTTTCTGATTATGCATCATCGACTAAAATTTTATCGTATTGCAGGAAAATAGAAGTACTTTCATACAAGGTGTGTGTTGTCACTATGGCTCTTTCTGTCAATACATTAATTGATGCTACTGTCAGACCTAGAGGTTAATTTATTTTCATTGATAATTCATTGAGGACTGTAAAAATGCTAGTAGCCCTGTGTCTTCTGCTTATTATGCCTGCTGAACTCTTTACTATTGTAAAAATGTTTATTGAAGTCTTTAAGTAATTGTAAGATTTTAATGTGTTCTGCTCTTAGTTCTCAGTTTAAGACTATGTGTAATTCACCAAAATAAAATGAAATAAAGCCATTTATTTTGTACACAACGTGAATCAAAATTGGTACTCCACCACAGCCTTACTAACATTTCCTAACTGATTATGAAGTAAAGGTGCAAAGACAGAACCAAGACCAAGAGTGGTAAACTCTATTTTGTGGCATGTATACACCTATTAAAATTATACTGAGATGAAGAAGTAATATTGAGCTTTAAAGAGAATTAAACATGAATTCTGAGTAATACTGACAAAATATGAAGCCCCAGTGCAGTTTCTGACTAATGACATGATATGAAAATGTTTACTGATATTTATATCAATACAGGAGATGCTGGATTAAAGCCTGCAGACTTTTCTGAAGGACTGTATGCATGTACATATTTGTTTGTTGTGTTATAGAATTCAAATACTAAAAATATGAAGACTGATCAATTACAAAATGGATAAAAGCAGAAAAAGCATAAAAATAAAGAAAATGCTGAAAAATGCTCTTCATATGATGTATAATGCATTCTTTTAATGGTTATTTCAGAGGCACTTAGACTTTGGTTTCAACCATAAAATCAGCAGAAAATCAAACTGTTTAAGTCCTGATGATATCTGTCTTTTAAAATACTAAACTCGCAGGTTCCTCAAGAAAATATTGGATTTACTTAGACTAGGAAAACAGTTTTTTATTGTGATTTCTAAATGTTAGGGCACTTTTTGAGTGCCTATACAAGGTTTATAGAATTGTAAAAGTTTATCAAATGCAACTTCTTAATGGCTTTACTCAACATGTAGCCTTTCTTTAAATTAATTTATAATTAATAGTCTGGGTGCTCCAGTTTCCCCCAGCTGTCTAAAGACAAACTGATATGCTAATTGACTGGGGTGAGTCTTCCTGTTTTATTTTGTTTCATTAACTGTTTTATTTTCCTTTAGGCTTTTGAACCTAAATCTGTTAAAGAATGGCTCCTTCTTATTCAGCCTCTGAGTATAATAATACATAATTTTATAAGTTTTCCCAAAAAAGTAGAGTATTGCAAAGCTAATCCTCTGCTAAAAGAAAATTAGGAGTATCAAATGCCATATTTTAATTGTGGCGTTTTCTGTCATTCTGACTGAACAATACGTTTTATAAATGTTGTCATATAGAGGCTTTGTTTCCTGTGATGCAAAGAGCACCTGTAAAAAGCAAACTGGAAAATGCTGAGGTTGAAGTGCTGGTGGCTTTTTAGTGTTGAAGTTGACACATTATGTCCATCTTCTAGACCAGGAGTATCCAATCATAGAGGGGCTGGTGTGTGTACAGGTTCTTTTTCCATTCCATCTCAGCTCTTAACAAGCTAAAACGTTTTACTGGCTTAAGCCGACCAATTTAACCAGCGTGTACCAGCTCTTCGGGTGTTCCAGTTTTAAAAAGACCTTGAAAATCACCAGAAGCAGAAGTTATCTTACAATGTAGTGTACTTATTATGTTCAAAGTGGAGTTAATATGGTTGTACAATATTAATTCTATTATTTTCAGAGCATCTGTTAAATGCCGTTCTCTTCGTTCACTGTTCTACCAATATTTTTTAAAATATTGGTAGAACAATATTTTAAAAAATATTGGTACTTTGGTACTTTTAAAAATATTTTTTAAAAGTGTCGAGTGAAAAAGTACGTTTAATTGTGCTATGTACTAACTTTTGTGAGTCACAAAAAGTAAAGGCAAAAGGGGTATGTGTTAAGTATGTTCCATTTTTCTGACATTTCAGCCTTCCATTAAGGAGCCTATTGATTTGTAAAAAGGCTAAATTAAAAGTCAAACACGCAGTCTGGAATGTACTGGTTCTGAACAGCAAAATACAGTCCAGTCACCGTGAGCAATGTAGCCGGGGCCGCCGATTGGCCGGTTGTGTCTATCCGGGTACCCGACTGGAGCCAGCTTATTAGCCTAAAGGTACCAATATGGCGGAGGTAAGGAGGAAAATAGGGAAGAAGCATCAGCTTTTAAATGGCTATTTTTTAGTTTTTTAACGGCTACAATATGGTTATGTTGGCTCGATTGTGTTTATTAGACGTTAATGTGTTAGTACTTTTGCATCGGTGGGTAAATGAGCGGAATTGGTTGTGAAAATTAGATGTGAACGCAAAGCGGGATCCTACGGGACTAGGCCGCGGCGTCCGTGTGTATCTAAACACAGATTGTAAGAACTGTTTCATAAGCCAAGAGGCAGGAAAAATATAAAGGAGATCGCTTTTAGAAAATTTATTTCAGTTATAGATTGGAGAATATGTATGTTGTGTACTTATATTTTTAAAAGCGCTTGATCCAAGAAGAAATTGTGTTGACCGGGTAAAAACCAAACGTTGTTTATATTTTGTAGCCCAGGCTCTGCCTGATGAGATTAATAGCTGAGCGCTGTGATAGAGAGGTGGTAGCGTAACAGTAATATCACAAGCTTCAGATCGGATTTTTTTTACTCAAAATATGTGTAGGCAGCCTTTTCCTATATTTTTTGTATTTAAAACGCGATGCTTAGCGAACTATACCTCCTCCCCTCCCCTCCCTCAGGTAACGGTAAAGCTGACCTCGCCTGTGCTTCGGTTTGACGACGTGATGACAGGGTATCGCCTAGTTGCCGATATTAGAGATTTATTAGGTGTCGGCTCTCGGTTAGTGAAGGGTGTTGTACTGATCTGTCCTTTTTCCTTCCTGTTTCAGGCTTCCTTCGGAAGTTCGAGCCCAGGTAAGTCATCGTCTATTTTCCCTGGCCCTGCGGCAGCAGTAGTTACATTTTTTTGTTTTGCGTCGATTTTAAAATGGTGATACATTGGTGTTACTTTACACAGCCACTACGAAATTTATAACAGTTTATAACAATACATTTTAGGCGCAGTCCCTAATGAAAAGCTCAATCTTTAATCGCGCGCGCAGTGTGTCGTTTTTGTACAGTAAATTTCGTGACCTACTTCAACTAAGTTCATAGATGATCATGCTTTCGTTGTACTTGCGCCAATGTGTATTGCATTTTTAAATTACTTGTTTGGTTTTCATTTGTCAGTTGGCTCTTTGTCCTCGGAAGATCATGACTTTGATCCAACGGCTGAAATGTTAGTTCATGAATATGATGACGAGCGAACTCTCGAAGAGGAAGAACTGTTGGAGGGGGATAAAAACTTCAGCGCTGAAATTGCTGATTTGGAGAAGGTAAACTTTTTAAATCAGGATGTTTCCTGTAATTGGTATCGCATGATCTTGGGTTATTTTTTCACTGTATCAGCTCTTGATTTTTATTATTTTGAATATACTGGTCAACATAATACCATTACTATTGTGTGATAAACTTAGATCTGTTGACCCCTAAAGAGCTGACACTTGTGATCCTGGGAAAGATGGTCTTTCAGAGCACAAATCCAGTGAGTCTTATAGGTGACCTGTTTTGAAAGATAGGAAATGTAAATGAACTTTTGATGGATTAAGCAAGTAATCTGATTGATTAAGGGAACTTGTTCTTGAGGGATGAAGAGTATTTACATTTTAGTCCTATATGATCTCTAAATTTAGCATATTGCCCATTTAATTGATCACAATGAAATTACTCCATATTTAGAAACTGGTGATTTAATGGTGGCCTATAAAACCTGCTGGATTGGGACTCCCCAGAACAAGCATTGAGATTCCTGCTTTAATAATAATTATAATTAATATCTGGGTACTCCACTCAAAGTGCTTTACAGGTTATGGGGACTCCCTTCCACCACCACCAATGTGTGCAGCCCCACCTGGATGATCCGCCAATACGCTCACCACACACCAGCTATCAGTGGGGAGGAGAACACAGTGATGAAGCCAATTCATAGATGGGGATTATTAGGAGCCCGTGATTGGTAAAGGCCAATGAGAAATTAGGCCAGGACACCTGGTTACACCCCTACTCTTTTCGAGAAACGCCCTGGGATTTTTAATGACCACAGAGAGTCAGGACCTCGGTTTTACGTCTCATCCGAAGGACGGCGCCTTTTTACAGTATGGTGTCCCCATCACTATACTAGGGCATTAGGACCCACACAGACAGCAGGGTGAGCGCCCCCTGCTGGCCCCACCAACGGCTCTTCCAGCAGCAACCTTAGTTTTTCCCAGGAGGCCCTACATCAAGGTACTGACCAGGCTCACACCTGCTGAGCTTCAGTGGGTTGCCGGTTGTGAGTTGCAGGGTGATATAGCTGCTGGCATTAGAGTGAAGATATGACATGTTTGTAAGAAATAAAACATTTTATAGACAAATTTATGATCCTTTGGTTTGAATTAGATTCAACGATATTGCCATTCATAACGAGGAGAATTGGTAGCTTCTTAGTTTTAGAACAGTGATGGCCTAATCAAGTCATCAGGGGTCAGTCTTCTTCAGGTAATGTGGGTCTTTCAATCGCTGGATTATGATTACAGTAGAATAGGGTACCTACTCTTTTCCAAGTAATAAGCTCAACTAAGTAATCAAGATCTGAGATGGAAGGAAAGTCAGAATGTTGGTCGAAATGTGAAATAAGTATAGTGTAATTTAACCTTTTATAGAGTGATCCATTTGCATTGTATATGAAAAAAGTCTTTCTAGTTCCATTTGTTCCTACTCAACAAATTCATACAGTTAGTCTTTTATGAATATCACATCTTATTCAGTAGAAAGTTCTTTATTTTGTTCAGAAATTGCCCATTTGTGTAAAAGTATTTGTGCAGAAAATACACGTAGCCACTTATAGCCCATTCAACTGGAAGACTGGGGTCTCTTTCATTTGGCCTTATTTCATTACAGTATGCGGGTGGGTGGTGACAGAGACAGCATAGATCAAACTCCGTATCCTACATTTTTCCATGCAGTGTCCTGCCTTGTGAGCTGTGCTGCATTATATGTGTATATTATCCGAATTGTTTGTAATATTAGTGATAATGTTTTAACAGGAGGGCAATATGCCTTTAGAACAGCTGCTGGCTATTTATCGATATGAAGCATCTGTCAGCACTGTTGCGGGCTCGAGTGTGGACAGCTCCTCGGGAGAACTCGCAGATGATCTGCCAGATATGACATTGGATAAGGTATGTAGTGTAATATTTTATTTCAGTTGTTTATTTTTTTTTGGGGTATAACTCTGGAAATACGGAAATACATCACTCTTCTTTTGATAAGCTGGAAGCCCTGCAAATCTTTGTCTGCTTTTAAGATCTAGTGTTCCATTATTAGTTTTGTAAAGCTTATATTTATGAATTATACAAGAATGCTTACATTTTATAATTAATATCATTTTAAAAAGTCCTTAATTCCATACCTTGTCTACCTCAGGAATGTCTTCTGCCCTGAAAGCGTTATTGAAGTATATTGTGTAAATGAACACAGTACACACAATACAGACATGAAGTAGAGCTCTTTAAAACTTAATTCAGCAGTACCTTTTAAAGACCTTGAATTTGTCATAATCTTAGGTAGTTTTGTATCCTTCATAATATCTAAAATGTAAAAGTATGAATACATGATACTTTATGGGATGCATGAAGATCTTCTCAAACCTCATTTCTTAAGAAGACAAGTGCATGTCCAACTAGACAATGACTAGGTAGAGAATAGTTTGTTAGTATAAGGTATTACCTGAGTGTCTTAATGCTGAATAGAAATAAAAGTTATGAATGATATCTGATTTAGCTTGAAGTCACAAATCAGATATCAGGTTTATAATGTCTGACAGATACTACATTGTAGTTCAATGGTTTAAGTGACAGCTCGTGCTTTCGTTGAAAGTTTTGAGTGACTTTTAATAAGATTGCTAAAGTTTAAAAATACTCTCCTAAATAACCGATATACGGATATTAGGAACATTAAACATGTATGTATACTTCATAACAGGAAGAAATTGCTAAAGACCTGTTATCTGGTGATGATGAAGAAACACAGTCGTCAGCCGATGACCTGACCCCATCCGTAACTTCCCATGAAACCACAGATTTCTTCCCAAGAACCCTGAGATGTAAGTAGAAAGAGGGTGGGATACTTACGAATTGTGAAATGGAAATGTTTTGAACTAAGTTTCCTGGTACACATCTGTGTGTAAATATAGGCTATACCTATTTGTTACATTCTATTTGTATGTTTAAATGAAATCCAAAAGCCATGGGTATATGTTCAAAAACCTAGATCGTTACAAAGATATTAATATTCTTAAAAAGTAGAACAGATGCAGATGTTGAATTTTACAAAATGAGTCAGTCCATTTTGCTTTTTTAACTCTTGCATTAATTAAGAATGTGTGTAAAAATACTCCCTTGTCCAATGGAATATTAGACATAGATGCATAGATCACAGTAATTATATCCTAATGCTGTAAATTGTTTTGTTTAGTTAGTAAAATGTCAGCAATATAGTAATGCTTCTTGTGCCTTTCCAGCAAACACTATTTATGATGGCGATAAGGAATCTGAAGGCGAGGATGAAGGTGTAAACCCCGAAGACTCCAGAAAGGTATGTTCAATTTATGGTAAATCAGTGACCTGAACTGTTTATATACTGTGAAAAATTGATGTTCCTGATGATTGTCCGAGTAACAGTTGGTTTTTTTGTCATTCTTTGGATTTATATTTCACAAAAATCTGAATCTGTCACTATAGCCACACCACCGTATATAAAATGTGGATTCTTTGTAAATGTAAACTGAGGTATTTGAATCGATAGTATGTTGTTTTTAATGCCTTTCAGTATATATAAGAAATCGGTATGGTCTTGACATAACCTGAACTTATTCTATTGCTTGTAGGAGATAATGGTGGGATCCCAGTACCAAGCTGAAATTCCCTCTCGACTCGGCACCTATGGCGACGAAGAAAAACGTGAGTTTTTAAACACAACTGTCCTAGTTTCTATTGAAGGACTGCAGTTTGTCCCATTAACTCAAGTATCATCTCATGGCACTAAGTTTGGACAAAATTGCCGGCTACTAATTTTCATCTATGGGCTGCATTGAGAGAAAAGAAAGTTTTCTAAACTGGAGAAACTGAAATAGATATACTATTAGGTATTCTATAGAAGTAATGCATTAAAACTCACATCAAAGAAGAAAATGCCCACTTTTCTTTATGTGCGCATTGGGGTTGGAGACACATTTTGCAATGCAAGGCTTGAAACAGGAGACTTTATATATGAAGGGATGTCTTTTATTTGACAACAAGCACAAATGGAAATGTCTGTAATGGACTGGTAGTGACTGGCCTGTGTGCCAGAAGAAAGTTTGCTACCACCATCTGGTGGTTACTTTTGGTATTTTTAAATATTTTTACTGTAAAACAACCATTCTGTTTATTAATGTTAATAATGTGCAATGTTCTTATTCTGATTTCCCACATGTGCCTCAGGTATTTTGCCTTATTTAGAATTCTTTGAAAGTGCAGTTATATTTTATGTTTCTATGTACAAATACTTTTCAGTTAGAGACATTCCAGCCTTTGATAAGGTAGCAAATTATGTATGTGTTTACTTCATGGTTGAGCAGTTAACATTGGAAATCTTTTATATTTTGGATAATAATGTTTTCAGCATCTAGCATTATTTGAAAACAAAGACACCATTGTATAGAAAATATATGATGCATTGCATAACTAGAATAACTTAGTCATACTGTGTTTTTAATGCATGAGTTACTACTTCCTGGAACTTCTCATGCTATAGCATTTCTGGAGATGGATCTGACAATGTTGCCAGTGTGGTTTCTCTAATTGATGAAGCAGAACACGTCCTTGTCCAGACAGCTTCTCTCTGATGGGACACTCTCTGTCAGAAACAACCAAGCAATTTTCCTTGTTAAAGATAGTCATCTTTATAGTCTGTGCATTTATAGAAATTACATCTGAATGACTTTTTAAATGATTCATGTAATCCCTTCTCATTGAGTGTGCTATTTTTATGAAATCACATGAATTGACCTCATTTTGTTGTCCCAAGCAACAATAATACTCAGTCAACAGACATATCTGCTCCCTATTTAAGATGTAAGCATTGGGCACAAATGTAAATTATGTAAATTTAAACGTTTTGCAGGAGATGTTAAACTTTTTATTTCTCTTCATTGAGTTTTTTTTTAACTATGACTTCGGTGATGTCTTTTATACAGTTAAATCTTGACTTCTCCAGAGTTAAGAATAGCCATTTAATTTTCACTTTTCATGAACTGTTGGAGCTGAATATTGTGATATAAGTTAAAGGTCTGTAGTCTTGGTTTGATTTTTGTTATTCTAACCCATATCTAACCCATATCTGGTTATTTACAACCACACCTCTTAACCAGTAAGGTTTTTGAGACACTCGGAATTGCTGCCAGAAATCTTTTTTTCTTCCAGTTTTCTTTTCAGTTTGGTACTTTGGGAATATAAGTGTTTACAGATACCCTAGGTACACGAGCACAGTGATTGTTTAAAATCACTGAAAAATTTTGGGACGAGTGTTTTGCGAGTGGAAAGAGAAAATACATTGACTTCTTGTTTGAAAATGAAAGTATCCCAGTTTCAAATAAAAGCAGACATAAAAGTGTGTGACTGTTCTCGGCAGCGTATGAAGACGAAGACCAGCTCCTCTGGAGTCCCACTGTCTTGCCCGAGAGTAAGGTGAAAGAGTTCTTGTGTGAGGTGGCCCTGCGAGACCTAGATGAGAAGACAGTCGGGACGATGGAGGGAAGCCACATTCGAGACAATGAGCAAGTACGTACTGCAAGCAAGATACTCCCTAAAGCACCAGATAGGCCTCATTACAAGAGGCAATATGGTGATGGTACTGTCGTCAGAAGATGCAAACAGCTTAGTAAAAGGGAGTGAATGTGATACTGAACGGCAAACAGTTTAAAAAGAACCACCCAAATCAAATGTGTACTTGGGGAGGCTTGAAGTTAACAATGGTCACCTCTGCACCTTTGAAATATTTTCGCAATATTCTTTCCATATTGGCAGCAGCCAGATATCACTAAAATGCACATGAACCTAAGAAAATGTGTTAATTGCCAGAGAAGACTTGAGTTATTTTTTCAGTACTAATATCGGTAGCAAACTGATACAGCAGCCCAAATTAAATCCACCTTATTTTACACTCTACAATGGGTGAATAATAAAAAAAGTGAAATTGGTTAAGTATTTAATGCTATTAAGTCTTCAAGTCTTCTGTTTTCAATATAGTAAAATTAGTGGCATTTGTTTTGGACGCAACTGTATTTCATATTGTGTATAAATATTTTTGAAAATCATTTTTAGTTCTCAATCAGGTTTACTGCAGATTGTGACCACACTCATGATGCAAAATATTACTTTCTGCATGACCTGATCATGCACAGGAATACATTCAACGCTATTGGCACGATCATTATTTTTTATAGTGTAGACATTGAAAATAGTTCAGGTATTTTGTCTGATTTCAGTAGACCCCACATAATTAAGCAAGTCAGTGCAGAATGCTTTATCTGGTAAATTTAATATACAGTGGACTCTTTGCCTCCTGTTAAAGACTACATGTAAAGTAAAAATAAACTAGAAAATTAACAAATGTAGAGGGAAAAAATATTTGGTTTTTATCATATTGAAAATTGGAATCCTGTATTTTTTTAAATACAGGCTGTCAAAGTTTTATGGTACTATATAGTGTCAGAAATTTATCCAACAAATTTTCCACCTACTGCCAGTTTTTTACTATTCAATTCCTTGATTTCCCTTCAATCATTAATAGCTTTTTTCATACTTTTTAAATGTCAATGCAGTAAATGTTTGTAATAGTTAATCTACTGTTAGGTTTGTGTAAACATTCCTAAAAGTGTTTTTCTTCTATCCTTTAGGCTTTGTATGAGCTTGTGAAATGCGATTTTAATATCCATGAAGCCCTTGAAAGGTATCGGAAAAATTCAAAGTCTTCAAAGGGTAAGTTAAGAGGATTGCATGTGAACTTGCAGTATTTAGTATAAGTACTGTTTTATTCTAGAGAGTAGCATCTGTTTAAGTGATATTTTTGTTTTTAGATGAAATGCTTCCTTGGTCTGAAGAAGAATGCAGAAACTTTGAACATGCACTTCAGTTATATGAGAAGAACTTCCATCTTATACAGAAACATAAGGTGGGTTTTAATTTTCTTGTAAATGTCTTAAGACAAACTTTTGTACTTATTTTTGATAGGATATTTTTAATTTCTTTGCAGCAATAAGTTACACCAGCAAGTATGTCAGTGTTTGAGAAATGGTGTGTAGTGTAGTATTTACTTTTAACTATACTGAAATATACTGCTACCTTAAACTGTTCCAGAGCATGTTATTACATTATTCAATGTGTGTATTTATTATTATTGTGCATTATTTTGGTTTACTCTTAACATGAGAATGTCAACTGATATAAATCCAAAAATCATCTAATGCAGCTAATACTTTTGAATTTTTTTAAAATTTTAGAGGCAGATTTAGGATACGTGACGAATTGTAGCTGCTGTTTAACTTGTTCTTTTACCTAAATAAAGAATAGTTTAGTAGCTAGTTTCACACTGATGTGTAGTCAGGAGTGAATATCAGACAGGTTTTCTACATTTAACATTTTTTGTTTCTCACAAATAAATAAAATAAATCAGACTTCTTTCCCATTAGTTCTCTAGTATTTCTTAGGATTTTGTTATAAATAGAATAAAAATAATTCAGTGAATTTTCATATCACCTGACCTACTGTTTTTCTCTTTCTTCTTCAGGTTAAAACACGAACAGTTGCTGAATGTGTAGCCTTTTATTATGTGTGGAAAAAGTCAGAACGTTTTGACTATTTTGTCCAACAGAATAGGTTTGGAAAGAAGAAATACAGCAGCTATCCTGGTGTAACGTAAGTGATTGTTCTTTGGAAAGTACAAATTGTAGAAGGGCTTTAGCATTTTTTGTTTTCATGTTTCAATGTCATTACATTAGTTCACACTTCTAAGAATTTTCTGAAACTGAAGGAAATTTGTAAGTGACGAGCCTTTTGACTCCTGACAGCTGAGTTGTAGGAATCAGTTCACTGAATGTTGGATACTTCCAAAAGCATCAGGTAAAGGAGTCCCCATTTTGGAATTTTTTTAGTTAATGTGAGCTCTGCTGTTTAGTATATTTGACCTCATGCATTGTGGTAGGTGCCAGTTCTAGATAAAGTGTCAGAGACAGAAGGAGGGAAGATTAATCCTGTTTTCTGATTCTCCTTTAGGGATTTGATGGACCGCCTAGTAGATGAAGCAGAAGGATTAGCTGTTGACAGCTCCTCATCAGTGTGTTCCAGCAGTGGGAGGATGGATCCTACTCCAGATCAACAGCTGAGCATTCTGAACTCCATAACTGCCAGCGATCTTACAGGTAACAAGAAGCTGGGGCTGAAAATGAATGCTTCTATTGTGGCTTTCACGAGTACTGTATTTCTAGATGAGAGAGGTTGGGGAAATGAGCCAGATAAATCTTGTCACACAATTCAGAAATCTTAGATGTGGAACATCAGCTGTAATAAAATAGGGATCTTGTGTTGCAAATAATGGAAAATTGACAAACCATCAAAGCACTGCATTAATCTAATTTTGTAAATATCTGAAAATAGGTTGAAACTCCGAAATGTGTTCCAGAAATTGAAAGTTTTACTCAAATTTTGACAATGATATGAGCTGTTGAGATCAGAAGGGACATGTGCTTCGAATGTACTGATTTGTTTAGCCTTGCCTTATAATTACTGCTCTGAATAATCTTATTGAAAGATAAAGGTACTTAACTTAAATTTTTCTGCTCAGTTTGCTTTTTGTAGACATTTATTGAATAGGGAATGCGGTATTTCAGTGTCCTTTGATTACAACTTTAAGATGCCGTCAAGAAAGACATTGCAAAAACATACTCCAGTGTCATAAAGTGAGGAGGGAAGGTGTATGTATAAGAGGTTTTTTATTTCTGGTGTCTATAGCCTTTAAACTCATGTTCTTAACTTCTCTTTCTAGCTCTCACCAATACTGTGGCCACAGTTTGTAATCCAGATGTGAACTGCCTGGATTCCTACAACTTTCCTGCATTGGACAGCTTGCACAGAGGAGCACTCAATCATGAGGAACCTCTCAATTTCTCCGCCAATGGCGACACCGACTGTCTGAACTTGCTTGATGCAGGGTTCTACCACTCCGATTTGAACCAGATAAACATGTGCAGTGAGGAGTGTGAACGGCCTGCAAAGAGGTTGAAAATGGGCCTTTCTGAACCTTTCATCAACGACGTCTCTGTGAATAACCTTGGCGTAGACTTCGAGAACCACGCACATCACATCACGAGTGCCAAAATGGCTGTGTCTGTGACTGACTTTGGTAGCTTATCGACCAGCGAGTCAAATGGATTCATGAACTCCCACACACTACATCAACACACAGCCCTGCAATCCGAGTGACTAGCAACAAGAAAACATGACCATTGAATTTGATGGCATAGCCATCAAATGTGTACATATTCTCATTCACTGGAAGTTTGAACTTTTTTTTTACTATGACATCAGTGATGTCTTTTATCGTATAGAACTAAATCTTGATTTCTCAAGAGTTAAGAATAGCCATTTATTTTTCAGTCCTAAATTTGGAAGTGTCATATGTCGATGTTCATAAACTGGTGGAACTGAATATTGTGGTGTAAGTTCAAGCTCTGTAGTCTCGGTTTTTGTTGCTCCTACAGGCATCTCTAAAGCTTACAGCCACACCTCTGAACCAATGACAAGGTTTTTGAGCCACTCAGAATGGCTGCCAGAAACAGTTTTTTGTTCTTCTGGTTTTCTTTTCAATTTGGTACTTTGGAATATCAGTGTTTACAGGTACCCTAGAGACTAGACCCTGGCTTATGTAGCATTTTGTATAAGAGGGTCCAGGCTTTTATATTCTAGAAATGCACTGAGAAGTGCAGAGACTTTCTTACACGGAGCCTTTCTGTATATTAAAAGGAGCACTTCAGTTTACACAATGACAATATTTTGATTTTTTTTATGTAGGCAGGTACCAGGACTGCATATGAAAAGAAGAAAACTATTGAGTTTTCTAAAAACCAAATTTGAGTGGTTGCCCTCATACTGAAAGTCGAACTCCACTGCCAGATTGCTATTTCACAGTGTAAAATTGGCAAAAAAATAACATTTTAATATTTTATACATTTTTTTTCAAGGTCAACAATAGATTTGTGAAACCAGTGTAAATGTTTTACAGTGTATCCTTAAAAATGTTCAGAGGCAGCCAAAAATACTGCTTTTAATTTTTGCTACTCAACTCAATTGGTTGACTTTCGGTCAGCGTTGAGGTGATAAAGTGCAGTTCATAATGTTTGAAATAGGGAATTTGCTACGATGTATGAATAGTATACTGTAAATACGCTGGCTGCTTTGTAGGCTCTGAAGAGAGTGAGATGAACATTCAACTGTTTAAATATTTCTCCAAGCCTGTTTAAACAATTATTCTATCTGAAAATGACGGCAACAACAACTGCAGCTCATTCTGAAATGCTTATAACGTTACTTGTGTCCTTTCCTTTGTATTTTGTCATACTGTCCTTTTGCAATTTTGTGGTAACGACATCCATCTTTAGATCTTATCCATTAAAAGTGTTTGGCTTGAATGAAATTAGTTGTTAGTGGATAGTTAGAGGGTGGGTATTTATTAAAAAGGACGTTATGGACTGCACCAATGTCATCCCAACTTTAGCCTTAGCCTTGTTTGTACTTTTTAATGCTTTTCTAGCAAATGTACAGTGAAATAAATTTGCTAAAAATAGGCACATTTAACTTTTCTTAATTTGAGATGTATAAAAAAATCTATTTTGACTGACTTGAGTACTATTTATGTAAGTTAAACAGTGTGCATGTACATCTTTAGTTCAGTAGGCTTGTCATGGTGAATAGTGAAAAACTAGATGTTTTTATCGTACAAATCAACGTTAACACCTAAGTACACACAACACTTAACGGGTAGCCTTGGCTTGTTGCCAGTATTATGTCATGTCATTTTCTGCTTTGTCAGCACCTTGTTACAATGTGTTGTGCAAGTCTGCATTGTTAATTCATATTTTCCAATGCTGTAAAGTGATTACAGTTGAATAAGATGTACACAGGAGATTATGTATTTTAATTTAGTTGATGGCTAGTCTTCTCATGCTCATGACTGAATGCCTTTTCTGGAAGCTCATAAGATCAAAATCATGTCAGTTGGTAATTAATGCAGTACTAGTGTTTACTTAATTTATCTATGCATTTGAGATCTAAAGTAAGATGGAGTGTTTTCAGGTATAGAATTTTGAATGTCGGCTTACTAATAATGAATAATGGGTTGTGAACCATTGGAAAATCTTTACTTCGGTCTAATGATGCAGAGAATTGATGGTTACTGAGTTTATCGTCATTGGGTAGTTTTGAAAAGTCAGTTATTTGACCTCATGAACTTGTGAACTTGTGTTAAGACAAAGATTTCTTTTAATTCCTTGTTATTATAAGGCAATAATTTGTAAATATGTACAGACTACCTTTTTAGGTTGAACTGACTTTTTCCCCCAACATTTTGCAGCAGAGCATTTCCATGCATGCTAGCTGTGTATTTTCACAATTGTACCACTAAAACAGCTTTATGTATTTAGCTATTTAATGTTGCGTTTGCTTTAAAAGTTTATGCGTTTGTTCCTGTAAAGAACCTATTTAATACAGCATCTATTGAGTTATTAAAAAGATGTGGATGCGCACTTTACAATCTGTCATCCATGGTTAGTATCACAGATTCTACTAGAAGTACAGATTAAGCATGCAGCTGCCCACTGGAACAAAATCAAAACTTTTGGTCTGAGAATTCATCGTTAACTGTTACGTGTCTCAATAGTTATTTTTAGTATATTGAAACTGTTTAATTGCAAACTGAAAATGCAGGATATCTCTCCTGTCACAAATGTTTATTATACCTTAATGCATTTGAGATGGAAGTAACGCAGTTTGATTTATATCTGCTGTTTTGCATACTGGATCAGAGTTTCACTTTTTAGGCCCATACAAAGTGTGAAGGAATATTTATATATGCAGTATTATGGTGTGCCACATTCCAAATTATGCATTTTTACTGAATGTTAAGGGAAGATTTTTGTTTAAACACTAAAAATAGGATAACAACTGAAGCTAAGTGTGTATGCAGATGCCTGTATTACAGCCTTTTACATTTTGGCTCTTTTTTGTCTGTCTGATACTCCATGGACAGTTAATTGCTGTAATCTGTGCCTAATAAGGGCCTTCCCACCTGCTATTCACAATAGGGAAATGCAAGCCAGATCATTAATTCATTGCTTTGTACAAATGAAAATACAAACAACAAGTGGAACTAGAAACAAGGTCATTAGTAACTTAAACTAAAATATTTGTATGAAGTTACTGAAGAGTGAATAACCACTTCATGAGTACCTGGTGCTGTGTTGATAGCAATACTTCTAATTTTCTTCTTTTTGACAAGCCTTTTTCTGTTCATTCTATCATAAGTTTTCCCTCACATCAAACTTACTTGAAGGATGTACATTAGTATCAGTTGGCAAATACTAAAGTGTGTACAATTGGGTCATTTAGATTGTGCAATTTATTTTCCTCTTGTCTTTCTTATGATTGGTTCCTTAGCAAATATAGTGGTGCAGTGGTATTTATTTTATCCAAAGTTTGTAAGAAAGTTCTAGGTAAAATCAGAATGTAAACTATTGGCAATTTCCATGTAGGGAAGTAATGTGTATATTTTAACCACACCCCATCCCTGAAATCTGTAAAATGTGATATTTTAAAGAAATCTTAAGTATAAAATTGTTTTGTAAACAGTATATTAATTTCTATATTTTTATTTTATTTTAGAATAAGAATTACCAACAGCAACACTGTTGTTGTGAGAGTTATTTTCTTGGCCATGGTTCATATGAATAAGAAACCTACTTTGTGAGTAAAAATATAACCTGAATTATAGACAATCAAAACTGCATTTAGTATCAGAAATGTTCAAGAGGAAATCTGTTTTTAATATTTGTACATAAACACTGAATTTTTTTTTGTTTTGTTGAGCATTATTTTGTATTTTCTGTTGTACTTTAATACCTGGTGTACAGATCCAGAATAAAGCTCTGGAAATCTTACGTGTTTTCCTTCCACATTTTCACTGGTGTATTTTGCTAAAATCTTTTAAGTGTCAGGGGTCTGTTAACCAACTAGTAATAGTATGAGTAAAATATACTCCATATAGCATGAATTAAGGTTCATGAATGGTCTTGCTATGCAATCATCATTTGCATTTTAATATGACTAAGTCACACAATGTTTGAAGGTTAAGTGTAGCTTCTCCTTTAGGCATATTTCTCATGCCTGATTTAAATTAAGAGTACAACCAAGTGATTATCAAACTGAACCATCACCTCACATTAGCTCCCTTGTATAAACCTAAACTTTTGTTAACAGCATCTTTCCAAAAGTCATGGCCTGGCTGTACCCTGTTTTTTCATAAGCACGTAGATAGCCATGGATTTACTGTATACAGTATGTTAGTCAGACACTTCTTTTTTATATATATAATTGGTTTTATTAAATAACACCAGGAGAGCCCAAGGACATTAAACCATATTGCATTAAATTATTAACGGTATTAAAGTCCTCAAAGGGAATAACAAGAATCCTGCGTTTGACTGCAAACCACTGTGCTACCCTCGAGCTCCCCCACTGTGAAATGACTGTGCTTGTGACATTCACAACATACTTGTATACTTAGTGCAGACACAGTACTTTAGTAAAGTACTGTCTGCACTAAAAAAGGGCAAATTGTACAGTGCTATACAGATTTGTATACTAATTTTGTAATACAGAGGCTGTCCTAAGACATATTCCATAATGTACAGGACTAGAACCCTGCATTCCCTAGAACTGGTTTAAAAGTATATATTTCTAAGATTTATGCTTAACTGCAATGTGAAACTCAAAACTGAACAGAATGCTGATAGAATGGAATACTTTGTGCAATTGTTTCATTTAAAAGGCTTTCTATAGTCTCAGTCCTATGTCCCATCAATATAGGTGCTATACTGTTTTCCATACAGTCTATATATGTTTTTGCCTCATCCAAGTGACAGTGGGGAAAAAAAAGAATTGCATAACGCAAATCATGTTCTGAGAAGGCTTTCGTAAGAATATACTTCCTTACATGAAAGACTGGAATCTAGCCATGTACCACAGGCAGACACTGGGCTAATTCAAGGAACAGGTTGAGGTTATTCTTAGGTCATTCTGCCACAGGGTACCACATGAGTAAGATGGGCTGACTTCATCATGTATGTTACCCATCTTATGTTCTTACTGAGACACAATAAAAAAGCAGGGCTGAAAATACAAACAGAAAAGCAGGAGAGAAACTAAGCAGTGAAAACGGTTTAAAAAGGTCAATTCATTTATGATCATTTATTTCAATAACTTCTGTTAGTATGAAAACCCTGTCAAAGATTTTTTTCATGTGGAAACAGACACTCTTAATGTACAATGGTGTAGTAGTTTGAGAAGAGCTCTTCCCCTTGGTGAATTTCTCTCAGTGCCACAAGAACAACACACCTCAAAGGCCTGAAAAACATTAGAAATAAAAGAACAAGACATTCAATCTTACAAAAAGATACATCTAAGCAACTACTGCAATTGCAATCCAGTGGTCACCGCAAGTATTTGGTATTGAGACAATAGCAAGACTAAGATGCCAAACCAAGACTAAAATAAAAAACAGGTTTGAAACCTTTGGCAGAAGGCAGAATAAAACTTAAATGGTGATAAACTGGCTCACTGTTCCACATCAACCATTGCTGTGTACTTCAAAATGTGAGACAATGGAAGAGGCTGTGTCCTGTTCTGCTGTGTTGAACAGATTAGATGATGTCTCATTAAGATATGGTCTCAGCAAAAATGCAGGACTGCAGTCAATATGTTGTCTCATGTCTAAGTGAAGCCTTAAATTGGATCTTTACTTTATTTCATGACAAAAGCTGAGCATGATGAGCTGAAAGTTGGTAAGTACACACACACACATCTCAGGTGTATTAAGGAATAAAGGTGATTGTAATTAAGTTTGGGCTAGATAGGTACTTTACACTAGGAGGAGTTTAGAGGTACGTTAAATCTAGTAAATATCTTTGAAAATCCATTTGGTATTCACAGAATGAATAGAGCAAAACATGACAGGCAAATGCAAACCATATTTTATTGTAATTTTGGAGATTCATAAAAGGTGAGCATAAAAGGGATAATTTTAAGCAGTTTTCCTTGGATTAATCAACTATACTTAATTCAGAAACTGAATATTTGGGTCAATTCTTTTAAAGAACAAAATATCAAGTACTCACTGATTTTTGTTACGGACCCCTTTAAAACTGGTCATACCTTTGTACCTCATGCCTGTAATTCACATTGGGAAGGAACTGGCAAAGTTCTAGGGGAAATTCTGCTGGCACATCGAATTCTTGATAACATACATTTGCAGCCTTTTCTAAATAAAAAAAGGTAAAAAAATAAAATTAGCTCTTTACTACAAAAAATATGTGTAAATGAAAAGCGATTTAAAGTATATAAAAATGGAAAATACATAAAAAACTGAATTTAGCAACAGGCCTTTTTAATCCAGAGACAAAACCTCATTTCACTTTCTCAAACAAACACAAATCATCTGTACTTTCAGTTTTCTTCCCAGGTATAATCAAATACAAGTTGAGCAGCATCACTGTTCTTTTTAGGAACACTTATTTGTATATATTGAACTTTTTATAACAAATGTCCTCGGCCCATAGAATACCTTTTTAAAGGTTTCCTACAATCCATTTTTTGTTATTGCGAGTTCTCTAGACATCATTACAATTCATACACCATTTAAATCCTTAAAAAAGGCACAAACATATTACAATGAACCACACAGAAAGGAGAGAAGTAAAGTGTGCACATGCCATTAGAGCAGTTGTTCACATACTGTCCCACAGCCAGCGGGTTCTGTGGAATGGTTGTGAGCCAACTGGTGTCACTCATCTGAAAAGGGCCCAGCCTATCCCTTCCACTGCATGACCTAAATAAATAAGAAGTCTTTAAACAGAGTGCCGTAAAACATGTTTTCACAAAATAGATGTTAATCGTGTCAAGCTGCAAGACATATAACAGGGAGGTTTCATACCTTTACAGTTAAATACCAGTTAATGTGTGAGAGGGTCAGTCACCTTCACATTAATGGCCATGGAGCTTAGAAACACTATACCAGCTTTTGGTTTGGTTATGTACACAAAGGTCAAATGTCTCTTAAGGTAGGAGAACCTACCTGTGTGTCTCATGGAGAGCAAGTCGGTGTATGCGAAAAGTTGTATATGGCCTATAAAGCCATCTTATCTTATTATACGTTCTTAAAATTGTTTTACTGTTGTTGTGCTACCAAAAAAGTCTGCATGTGAAGTCTAATCAGCATTTGCATTTCACAAGACAAGTTCTGAGATGCCTTCTGTTTTGTGGATACTGTCATGAATCATGAACTCTCCTGAAATACTCCTTTTTACTTTTACTGTCACCGAAGGTCTTATGACTTCAGGATCCTTCTGCCATCCTCTCAGCAAATCTATCCAATGGCAACTGCTTGTCTGGAGGCCTTTCAGAATGATTCATGTGTGGTAACAATAACAGAAGAACACAGTGAGAGCCAAGGATCATGGAATATACTATATCCATTCTGAGTGCTGCCTTAGTTTAAATGACTTTGGGTTATGCCTAAATCGCAATAAAGTCTTCAAGCCTCAGGGTTTCCACACAGCGTCTAGAATCAAGCAGTTGTGAGGCTGCTCCAGACTAACCAGGTGTCAAGGATTTATTAAAAATAACATTTATTTTTTTAAAGCCTTAAAAAAATCTTTTTTTCTAAATTCACTACAACCTGGTATGATAGTAATCCATTTATGATCATTCAAATCAGTAATGCATTGAACAACATTTTACACACAATTTACTAGGCTATTTTTATTTGGACACCAAACATTAACTATAGCAGAACGGCCACAAAAAATCTAATAAAAAAGGTTAAACAAACATCATTGACAGTATCTGTTTTTAAACAACAGAACAGCTGCCAAAGATCTCTCGACAGTGACCCGAAACAACAGCATAAGTTTCTAAAACCAATTTGTCACAGATGTTCTCCTCTCAGAATAAGTCTATATTTAAATGAATAAAAGTCACAGAAAGAGACTTATAAAGGAAACCAGGAAGTCTGTAGAGGGACTCAGATGAAAACAATTGCACAGTTATGGGATGGGCCTAATACTAAAGTCATTGCCTCCACTCATTTACTCTGTTGAACAAGATACAGTATTGATCTCCAAACTTTTCTTCTAAAACAGACAGACAACTAGTCTTGATGTCTACAGAGTTCAGCTTTTCTTTTCTTATTGTTTCCACACAGTTTTTCTGGAGTGAAAAATGAATGGCAAAGTCAGTTCAGCCTGATGTTATCAGATCTCGGAACCTGAGCTATGCTGGGCCTGGTTAGTATATTAGTAAAGATGTGTCTCTGTATGGTTTATGTTTAATTGAAACAGTAGTTTTGTTCCATGTGTGCTTAGTACTGTGTACTTATATAGCTGAGTATTACTTTGTTTATGTGCTCTTCCAGCTAGGAGGGCTTGGAAGAGAGGACAACATGGCATAAGATCTATGAGCCAACCTGCTGCTGCTGTGTCCTGATTGTATACATGCAAATGCGCCATTCCTGGCATAAAAACTTATTGGCTGTTATATGTCGATCTCAACACCTTCAGTAACAACCACACTTAAAATTAGTATGGGAATAAGAGACCTCTAAAAAAAAAACAGGCTCTTGCTGCAAGTGGCATGGTGTTGATGACCCAGCTGGTGGTGTTTTCTTCTTCTGGCCCACAAATTATAATCCAATGCCCATAAATCAGTATGGTGACCAGGGACAGTGCAGTAGGGGGGGGGTGTTGTTCTCATGACACATTAACCAGTAGTTCCCAGTTCTGGGTCTGGTGACCCACACACATGTTGGTTTTCATTCCCTCCCACCTTAGAATAACATTAGAATAACTGAAGCCTTACTTTACCCAAGAAAGTTGCTTCAATTGAATATTTGCATTTTTTTTCTAGTCACAGTTTAGTTTCTAGTCAAGTTTGGGATATTATTTCACTTACGAAATACTGTCCAACAACAAAAAAAATATAACATGCTCCAGAGCTGGAAACAAACAGTTCAAATTAATTTTATTATTAAGTCAACGATGGGTTTGACTGTGTAACCGGGGGCTCGGTTCGGTAATTGGAACAAAAACCAGCAGGTGTGTGGGTTAGGTTGTGACTCATTAAAGATCACCTGGCACTTTTCTACACTGTAGGGGAGTTATCCCTTGTGTCCTAATTAAATACCATTTGCACAATCTAGCTTCTCTAAATTTTACTCTTAATTCAAATGGTGAAGTAATTTCTCACTTCACCTGATCTGCTATGTAGTGGGGCTGCTGGTACACTATGGCAGACGCACATCACCCAGCTGGGAGCTGCCCTTCAGTTATTGACGAATAAGGTCTCTCCCTCTTGTAAAACACAGAAGGATCCTCTAAGATGAAAAGCTCTATATCAATACAAGGAACAATAATTACTTACCGAAACACAACTTTTGAAATGCCTCTGTCATTGCCATCAACAAGTACACCATCGATACAGCGAAAAATAAATGGATTGCGGATGGATTGGAAAAAGATGGGCTCATGTGCATAATAGACAGTACCTGTGAAAAGCATTTATGACAACAGATTACATTTCTTTAAAACAGCACAGGAAAAAACAGGCCATCGGTATGTTCACCCTAACATCACTCAGATGAGCCTTCCTTTGTTTCTTTTTCTCTTCCCTATTCTTAACATGGAGCATTCACATGTGCAAAACATTCTTTTGGAATAGTAAGAATGTTACTATGTGGCACATCTACATGAAGAACTGTCACCAGTTGCAACTGGGACTTTTTTACCCCTCCATTTTAACAAATTCCCAGTACTGGCTGGGAAGCTGTGTTACCATTAAAACTGACATCATGATAAGACTTTAAAAACTGCTCCTGTGGATACGTACCCTAACAAAGATCCGAAAAGGTGTGAAACTACCTTCACTTCTATACTGGGATCATGGTTCACTCATGATGAACAAAAACACTCTCAAGATGAACAAAACAGTTACCTGGATACATGGCTACTGTGGCACCTTGTGGAACTGTCCCTGCGGAAATAAAGACCCCAGTTCCAGCAGATTGGAGAGAACTAGGTGCTCGATGGATACTAAACCCCATTGTTTCAAGCATAACTTTACTTGGGTCATGATGTCCATCAAGGCTCTTCTGTGTCTCAATGGTATATGGAAAAGCTTGGTAAGTGGATCGCAATGAGTCTGGAAGTACACTTAAAACCTCCTGCTGCCTCTGGAGACTGCTTTTAAACAGGGCCCGGAAAAAAGTTCTCAAGGAGGCTGAAATCTCTTCATCAGAGACAAGTTTGTCCTGAGTCCGGTCCATGACCTGGCGCAGAGTTCTGAATTAAAAAACAGAACAGGGAGCATCTCATGACCTCTTGTTGTTTTTCATTTAATAAAAAAATACATATATCAAAATCAGGTTGATCTGTTTTTAAGGAGCTGCTTCTCTTAATGCCAATTTAGAGATGAAACCCAAAGAAATAGCCAAGCCAGGAGGAAAGAAATATGTTATTCTTCCGTAGTTACTGTACATATAAATAAGTCATTTCAAACAGAGCTTCTCACTTCAAGAATTTAATTTTGCTAATATTTGGTGAAGTAGAACATGGAAATCAGCTATGAAATATTTTGGAGTGATTTTGGGCATCTAAAAATTTATATTTAGTATTTCAGGTGCATATGTGAATGTTTCTATACAAGTCCAGCTCCAGGTACTGTAAGTCTTTTACAGAATTAATATGCAATAAGCACCACAATGTTCATATTTCTGTATAACTAGAGGCCCTCAAGTTAAACATTTCCCATTTCCAAAGTGTTTCAAAAGTGCTAGTTGCTTGTAAAGTAAAAAAATATATACTGATTGAAAAAATAAATGCAACATTTTCTGGAATGAAAATATTATAGTTATAGCTTATGTACTTTCACAAAAAGTTGTCAATTTTTTAAGCCCTCTGACCAGCAATACAGCTTGTGCAGTGAGGCATTGCAACTTGCCAATCACACGAAAAGCTTGTTAGGTGCACTTTTACCCAACGAGGTCCAAGTGGAACATACCTGAACAGGTCACCTTTAAAAAGGCCTTAATTCAAAGCTTAGGTCACTGGAAGAAAAAGGCCACACTTAGTCAGGTTTCTGCACATTCCATAATGCCTCAGATGTCACCAGAAGCAAGGGAGAGGGCCGTTGGCATGCTGCAGGCAGGCATGTCATGTGCCAGCGTTGCCAGACACTATGGAATAAGCCGCTCCACTGTGTCCAGACTGCAGAGAAGGTTTCAGCAGACCGGCAGGACAGATGATCTGTCCAAGATCTGGTCACCCTCGAGTGACCACACCAGAGCAGGACCAACACATCAGACTGGTCCATCTGAGAGATCATTTCAGATCTGCTACCCATAATGCTGCTGAAACTGCCAGCAGACACAATGACCGCATCAGTGACAGGACAGTGAGGCTCCATGCTACTGGCCTTAAAAGCAAGGCAACCTGTCAGAGACTCTCTGTTCACAACTCCAAATGTCACACCCGACTAGCTTGGGCCAGACAGAGGCTGCGATGGACTCATCAGTAGTGTCACCAGGTCCTCTTCACGAATGAGTCACTCTTCAGCCTGTTCCACGCAGACCAGAGGGCCAGAGTGTGGAGGAGGGGGTGTTGCGTTTCTTTTTTCCATCAGTATATATATATCAATTTCAAAGAACTCAGGTCTGTTCCCTATTTAACTACCCTTCTCTATACAGCCCTGCTATTGTCTGTCTATTGATTCATCTGATTTAACGGCCTCACAGAGTGGCTCCAGAATGTAAAAATGGAAAACGCTCCCATCTATATAAAAAAAATCTTATAAAAAAACACATAAAATAACTGACTTGGTAATCCGTCTACATCACAGTCTTAAATGTAATTTAAACAAAATGATAAATTTGCATACATGAACAACACTCATTAACGTTCTGTGTTGTACATTTACATCAATTAGAGTGAGACCAATACATGGTCACAGTGAGCTCGAACCTAACCCATCAGAAAACAGGAGCCGCGCAGGATACCCCCTGGACAGTCCACTCCAGAGCAGACACACTCGTGCATGCAGACAGAGGACTACTTAGAAACGCCAAATGACCTTGACAGCATGTATTTAGGCTAAGGGAGGAAACCAGAGCACCTGGATAAACCTGAGCAAGAGGCAGAATATGCAATTCCATTTATAAGGTGCCTCAGGCAAGACTCGAAAGCAGGACCAAAGTGCCTAATGGCCCTGCTGCCACACTTAGCAGTTTTGGGTCATATCGTACAATATTAGTTGATGTATGACAACCCCCCTAAGCACAAATGGGGATAAACTGTACCTCAGCTACTCATCTACTACTTATCTATGTTAGCTACTCACTAACATTTTCAAGATGTTAATCTTAAAAACGTTTCCTAGTTTTATATCTAATCCGTATATGACAATACACGGATTGCAGGCAAAATTAAAATCTAAAGGAGAAGATTTGACACCGAACGAACCCAATGTTTCTGACATACGATCATTACACGTTCATTTAAAAGATTTTACAATTTTACAACTCAAAATATTGAGCAAACAAATAGAAACACAGCCTCAAATTACTAAAAAGGGTTTGGCGACGTAATCTTACACCTAACCGAGTCACCTCGGGTCACATAACGAAAGGGATTGTAAGCAGGACTGTATTTGTGGGTTTTCATTCAAACTAAATCTTAAGTGAGCTAAATCTGCCTGTCGCTGCCTTAGCTGGAGCAATTTAAACACCTTCTTCCATCTCTTCAGATGCTGCTTTAGGAGAATAAGAAAACAAGATACTGTACAGCCAGCCCTCCAGGAACTAGAAAGGACAGCCCTGGACGAAACCCTGCACAGCAGCGTGAAGCTGGCTTGCACACACGAAGGGGGTGGGTTTCCTTTTTGTATCAATTCTCAATTCGAGACCAGGTGCAGAACAATGTTTCACTGACACTCAACAGCAATATGCAGAACACGACAAAAATAAAAGGTGTGTTTACATTTCAGGGCCATTAGATTGTTCAGGTTTCTCCCCGATATAAAAAACGGGGCAGACAAAACTATTTTGTTTTGACAATCAATATAATTTATATCAACAACGTTACTGAATGCAGTCCAATACACCGATTCGGCATTTTGTTTAGACTGCTATGTTCACAGCTGCACGGGAATTGTGCAATACTACATTGAGTTGCGTTAATTCACATTTAGGAAATATAATCATTTGTAGATTAGTTCGTGAAACAATATGACCTTCACCTTAATTCACCATCCCTACCTATCATTATTTTAATAGCGGTACATAGTCAATGTTCATTTAATGGATCTTTATATTAAACGTTAACCTGCAGGATGTAAATAACAGACAGCTGGGTTATGCTTAACAAGAAAGGAAAGCTAATTTCGTTTGTATTTTACACACAAGATACAGTACCCGTGTGTGATCTATGTTCAGATAACGGTCTACTTGGAAAAACAAACCTCTGTACTAAACTTTAGCACTAAGTCCCGCATACACACACTCTAAGGATGCAGATGCAGTAAGCTCCCTACTTCCGCCAGAAAGGTGAACCAAAATAATTTAAAGGGTTGACCTTGACTTTGCACATAATTACCTTTCATTTTTACCCAAGTTTACAGCAATCCACGGTACAAATCTATATTTGTACGAGTTCCATTTTTTCTGCAGTGCTTTAAATGTAGCCTTTATCATAATTTAAAATCGTTCGACGACATTTTTACACCTTTCACTCACAGCCTTAAAACCCTCCTCGAAATATTTCGCTACCGACACCTAGTGGCACAGACAGCAGCTACAGTAAGAGCTCCATATTCAAAGCGCCACTGTCTGATCGTTTCTGGTGTGGCAAGAGCAATTTCATTGTTTTTGTTGTTGTGTTAAAAGCAGTTATAGGTTTACACTCTATACTAAATCACGTTCTAATAACATACTATCTAAGGAGTGTAAAACGTTATATGGAAGTATATTTAGAACTGAGATCGGGAGGCAGTTCTTTACCCAAAAGGTTGTGGAAGTATAGTACAAGCTAACAAGCCATAATAGATAAGATCACTTTATTGGCCATATACAGTTTCTTGCATTAGGAATTTGTCTTTTTTTCCCCACATACCCCAGCTTACTATCCATGAGACACAGAGGCACAGAGACAGGGAGAAGCTTGGGGTCAGAGCGCAGGGTCAGATGTTTTATATGGCACCCCTGGAGCAGATTTGAACCGGCAACCTTCCAGCCATAGGCGCAGATCCTTAGCCACAGTGCCTCCACTCTGCCCTAATGTTAAAGCTAATACCCTGGCATCCTTCAATTCAAGAAAGCAGCTGGATGAGATTCTTGAATCAGAAAGCTACTACCAAGTAAGCAAATGGGCCGACCAGTCTTCTCTTGTTTGTAACTGTTCTTATGATCTTATAATTGCTACACATTTGCCTTTGATTAATGTCTCAGTGCTAAGCTAATGTAGTGCCCCTGTGCATTCTTATATTCGTATTTTCTAGTTGAACCGTACTTTAAAGCCAAAAATATTAATCAAATGGTACAATACTATTTTCTTCAAGCAAGTAAACTAAACATGTTAACATTTGAACTTTTAATCTAATTAAGCCTGTGAAAACAATACCTATTTTGAAAGACATCTACAGTTCTTGGTGTTGTTCAAAAAACATTATAAACTTTAAACTGACCCATAATAATAATAATAATAATAATAATAATTGCTTAAACTTATATAGCACTTTTCTGGACACTCCACTCAAAGTGCTTTACAGGTAATGGGGACTCCCCTCCTCCACCACCACCAATGTGCAGCCACACCTGGATGATGTGACATGACACATGTGCAAAATGCTAAATGTATGTACTCTTTTCCATTCCATAAACTGGACTAGCATTTTTCCATTGGGTCTTACATAAAATAAGTATAATGCCTGTAAATTATTTTGGATATTCTGACAAAAATCACGTTAAAAAGATATTTGGAATTACCACGCTCAAGTATATAAAGTACATTTATATGGAAATTTTAGATTTAACAAATAATACGCTATCTGGTGACCTTATACACATTAGTTTGGAAAGCTTTTCCTGATGCGATAGCAAATACAAAAACTATTGTGGACTATTTTTCTCTAAACAATTAGTGTTTTACTTTTTATGTTCAATTAGCTGCATTTTTAAAGTAGCCATTCTGAAACCAAGCTCATTAATGAAATCGCACCCAGTAAAAAAAATCAGTCTCTGTAACAGACAATTTTATAGGGCACACATTTCTAACCAAAGCACACGGATGTTATTTGTGCAACTTTTGAATTCATACGAATCTCAGTATTGCCAGATTGGAATTTGAAACGCAAAATGATTGTGAGATTGTACGCCAATCCACAGTACAAATCTATATTTGTGTGAGTTCCATTTTTTCTGCAGCGCTATCAATGAAGCTTTTATAACAATTTTAAAGTTGATTGGCGACATTTTCCCCCCTTTCACTCAGAGCCTCCTGGAAATATCTCGTTACCGACACCTAGTGGCACCAACGGCGGATAGGATCTCCACATTCAAAGCGCCGCTGTGTGGTCGAGATTGTGTTTCTCGGGATTGTGTAAGGAAACAGGAGGGAACGAAAGTGCCAACACAAGCAGAATTTTAGAAACACTGTGCAGGGCAAGAAAATTAAACTCCATCCGTCCATTTGGTAAAATCTTCGCGCAGTTTAGGTCGCAGGGAAGCAGGAAGCAAACATCTGGAAACTTTTAAGGTCAGTAAAGACCTAAGAAAATGATATACCTCTTACTAAAATGAGCAATTTCTAGTTTAACATACATCACAGCGAGCATTGGTTAAATTAACTTTAACAGGGTATTTTAAGGATAAATATCCTGTTGGCTTGAACAAAATCCACAGGTTATGTCACTGTAACACTGATGTAAGAAATAAAAGGTAAGAAACATGTTCTCCAGATACAAATCAAATCGTTTTAAATTGAAAAGCAATACAACAATTATCAATACATACAGTAAGATACAATGCAACATAGTATAGGGGGGAAACAATACAAAATAAATAACTTAATATTACTGCAAGCTGTACAGCATTTCCAAAATAATTACATTGGTTGTTCAATGTAATTCAATCTCTGCAGGATCTAAATGCTTATACAATAGAAATATACAATAGTCAGTTATCAATGAACCATATTAGAAGACAGCTCAGGAAGATAAGGTTTTGTCACAAATTGAAATTTTTTTCTCTTAGATTAAGGCATTTCTGACTGCTTGTAGATTACAACCCATTGGTTCTCTTCAGAAGTATACACTCTGATCTAAAAACAAAAAAAACAGTAACAGTGCATTTCTCTTCATATTGAATTGATGTATGTTACAGACAAGCAGTGAAATCAGTGTTGTGAGATGCCTAATTTTGTCATTTGCAATTATTAAGTCAAGCAAAATGCTTTTATTTAATGTATTTACTACATTATGCAATGATAGACATCGTTTCAAAGACCTAAAACAATTTTAACCTATTTAATTCATTTCCAAAACCAGCTTTATGTTCACATGGTCTTCAATGTTCACATTTGTCATCTGTCATGATTCAAAATAGAGTGATATGTGAAATTCCAAATGCAAAAAATATTTGCATTTACTTAATTGTAATTAAAATATGTATTTACAAAACTACACAGGAATACATGTCATTTAATCATTTAATAAAACTAAGCCAAGTTAAAAAAATTTATATGAACTTCAAATCAATTTTCTATCACTTCTAAATATTAGTTTTACTCTCTGATGTACTATTAATTTACTCCAGCACTACAGTGCTCTGCTCTCCATGATGTTCACAGATTTTTAAGAGCACTTACTGCTCTGCATCACATTTCATATAGACATCTAAAGATAAATGCATCTTTATCATTCAGCATTGACCATTTCTGAAGCAATTACAGATTTTTTTTCAGTTTTTTAAATATAATTAACTGTCAAATACATTAAAAATTAGGACGTTAGATACAGAATAATGTATGCATTTATCATAACATTCAAATATTCAAATCATTCAAATAAATATTTGGTGCAGGTCTGCTGATAAGGTTCCTAGTACACAATCTCAATCCTATATTATGAGAAAATAATTATACATTATTAACTTTATCTCCTTTTATGATTGCTTAGTATTAACTGCATGAATGCAGTGAACATTCTGAAAAATGCAAACATTCCTATGAAAAGTGAGTCCTTTTTATGGGGCTTTTATAAGGATCACACCTTAAATTATCTCATATTTAGTCAAAGAATACGTTGCTTACAATTTGAAACCTTTAGTTTCAGTAAAACAGGCAAACGGTGTAGTGAGTTGAGGTGCTGAAAATGTTAGGCATTTCACAAAATGACATATTTTCACAACTTGCCTTAACTAATAAAATACAGTACTCCCATCTTGAATAAATATTTCAAGCACATATATTCTGTTGTCCTTATTGAAAAATACCAGTGACATTTTACTTTACAAACTTAAATACAAACAAAACAGAATAATTTTAACACCTGTACTTCCAAGGTTTTACTAATATATGGCATACTAATGGTCAGTGCTCAGTGTTTAGCCCATTATTCATCTTATAAAAGTACTATATAGAAATATTTCTTACGGTAGACTCGTTCTTTCATGGGCAGTTTAAATCTAAATGTTCCTTTTTTGTGTATTGATATTTTCTATCTTAATCAGTGAGCCTTTTCCTGTCCCTGCATTCAGGCCAGAATATTGTAATTATCACCACCTATAATTTTGCATGCGATAGTGCAAGCAAGTTACCCATTAAAGAGCCTAAATACATCTGTCAATAGGTAATTAAGAATGTGTGGTGCAACAGCAGTTTTTACAATTTGAGGTTACACTGTATATAGACTGATATCAATCTATTTTACTGATTGAAGTCCAGTGCTTAAGAAAAAGAAATAAAAGTCTGATAGCTACATTAAAATAGTTCAAGTTTAAAGAACTATTTGAGCTTATCAGGAAACATTAGACAATAGTACCATTCCCCTTTGATAACGTAAAAAATGTTCAGATTAATACATATTAATTATACACAATAGACCACTTTAAAACATACATTTATAAGGGTTAAAACCAGGGTCAGACTCTTTTTACTTGTCAAGAGTTTAACTCAAGCCTGCTCTACAGTCTGCCATCCATATTTTCCCCTATCCTTTCAATGACATTTTCACAAAGCTGAAGGGTGTCAGAAATTCAAGAGATTGGGCACTGCAGAAACTAAAGAATCATTCACTAGCTTTAATACCATCTTTTATTAAGCAAATGGTCTACTTGTTTATTCTTTACTGCCAACTTATAGTGTATTAATGCCAGCCTGTATAAAGACATACGTCCAACTATGGCAAGAACCATGTTTCTTTTTTCAAGATTTACGTTTTTCTGATATACTTCAGAGCAATGAGCGCATGTCCGTTGCTGTAGGGGCACGTAGATGGAATAAGAGCAGAAGCACATGCTGTTGACTTTGTCTAGATGTCTTAGTCTAAAAGAAATGCATTTTATGCCCTTTTCTATAAATTAATTGCACCTTTAATCTACATGGCTGAACTTCACTGGGTATTTGAGCTAGAGTTGGCCATGACTTCATCTCCTTGCTGCACACCTGCTAGACTCCTACAAAGTTGTGGGTCTTTGTCCCACCCATCCCTCCATTTATTTTCTTACCTTTCCTTCCAAGAAAAGCCAGAGCTTATCCCAGCAAACAATGGGTGCAAGGAGAGGTACACCCTGGATGGGACACCAATCCATCACAAGGCAGACACACAGACTCACCAGGGCCAATTTTCCTAGAAGCCAATTAGCCTAAAAGTATGTTTTTGAACTGTGGGAGAAAACTGGAGTATACAAACTCCAGGCAGATGGCACCCCAGGTCCGGAAATCAAGCCAGGCCCCAGCACTGTGAGGCAGCAATGCTAACCACTGCACAACCTCGTATATCATCATTGGGCAATTAAAAATTATTTAAAAAAAAACACTGTACTGTCAGGTGCTGTACATATCCATTAAGTACAAATACAAGCATATTTAAACAGTGAAAAAAAATAGATACTAAAAACTTAGGTCCACCACTGGACTCCCAGTATAGCTCTGAGAGATCTAGGTCAGTCCAGAGCATCATGAAAGAATCCACTTTATTACAGTCCTAAAAAAAGTAAAAGTGGGCTAATAGGCAGACAATTAAGCACACCAGTTCTGAAGGCTGAACTTAAAAAACACTGAATGTCAATTTTGACACGAAAGCTGAATCTCAAAGTATACAATTTGTGAAGAGATTTGATGTTCTAAAGTCAGTGAAAATTCTCACACCTAAGCAACAACCCTGACGCAAAACAACAAACACCGAAGAAACCATCTTTCAACTCCCTTTTTGCATAAAGGATCTCATGACGCCCTGCAGATAATGTACTCTTGAGTTGACACTGTGGTGATTCTATTTTTTTTAAATAACAATGTTAGTGTTTTGTGGTAAATATCAGAGTAACTAAATCCTCTGAAAAAAAAGTTGAAGAACTACCATTTAGCTTATCTTAAAACTGCTGCAGTTAATTTTCCTTTTCGGAGCCAAAGGCACAAACAATTTATGCAGTTCCCTTTTGAAAACACTACTGTTTACAGTATGTTCTCCTAAGGCAGGGAAACAATGCCCTAAAGGAAAATAAACGACCTCTGAACTCGGCGTGCCATCAGCCTATTCTTTGAAAATGTCCAATACTTGAATTACAACCATTTTCAGTACTTCATGTAAAATGCAAACAATAAATCTAAAATCCACAAACTACATTTTAAAAACTTAAAGAGAGGCAAAACATATTAATTTGTAATTGTAAAAAAATACAATAAAGCAGCAATCTCTCTGAAAGCATAATCATGGTCACACTCTGTGCCATTTTGCAAGTGTGTTAACCAAGTTCATTTACACTTGTTAAAATGTTCTTGGAATAAATATATTCAGAAGTACATTTAAATATGTTACCGGGGATTGCAATTTACACACTGCTGAACCTCAGAAGTGTGAGACAGAAACTGCGCTGCTGCTTAAATGGAATTTAATTATTTCATAGGAGGAGGTACTGAAAGAAACCATGCTATCTGCAGCTATGTGCTACACAACTCCTAGGGGCTGTCAGTTGAGATACAATTCCACTTAGGCATAACGGAGAGTCACACTTGTGTAAGGCGGGGTTTCCTCGGCTCACAGGAGATTTTTATTTGTGGTTGGTCTGTCTTCTGCTGAGGTATCACACAGAAATCAGGCATTCAAAGCTTGCAGAAAATCAGCAATACTGTCCACCACATAATCTGGTACACAATTCTTTTTTTCTGGGGTCTCGCTGTCCATGTAGACATGAGCCTCCTCGAGTTTTGACACCCCTGTCAAGGTGAGCATTGTTGCGAGCCCACAATTGGCACCAAACAGGATGTCTGTTTCCAGCCGATCGCCCACCATCAGAGACTGCGAGGGGTCAACATCGAACTGACTGGCAATGTACTCGAACATGAACTTGCTTGGCTTCCCGATCACTGTGGCCTTTCGGTTGGTCGCGGTTTCCAAGGCAGCCGTGAGACTTCCAGACCCTACAAGTCAGAACATGATTTATACATTACTTAATATTACGGTAGAAGCATTTTGTGCACATTCAGACCTCTACACGTCAGCCTTAAAAGTGTAACCTACTTGGTGTGTGCTCCCACAGTTCAATTTCATTATCACTAGTCTTTAGTTATTCCAGATCCGTAATAAAAAACTAACCTCATCAGTAATGTGTAGTTTCATACAAATGTGAAAAAGGCAGTGTTCACAACAAATAATCTTCTCTCCACTTTGGAAATTAATGTATTACAGCATTACCAGCTGCTTCATACTTTGAAATATAAAATACGAGTTCCATATCACTGTACACTATTTTAAAAACCGGTAGTTACTGTACTTACATCACAGACTTTGGGCCTTTAGAAAGGTGCACGTTATATGGAGGTTCATTCCATCTATATATTCAACAGCTACAATACTAACGTATTCAACTATTAAAAAAACATGTAACATACAATAAAAGGTAGGTGCGTCGCCTGTATTAAATTTACGGTAACAGCGTATGATGCACCACTCGGCCCTGTTTACAGCAGAGGTCCAGTCTAAAGAGCAAAGTCTAGTTTCAGCTCTGATTCTTTTTGTCTGTTAGTCTGAAGATTAAATTATTCCAGCAACTGCAGCTAAAAACAGTCAATATATTTCGGCAAATCACTTAAGTATTATGTTAACGTGTGTGCACGTTCTATCTACAGCAGGTGACATATCCCTGTGCACTGCACCGAGTTTGAAATTGCATTTTACATGTTTAGTAGGCATCCTGACATTTAAATACAATGCACAGTCTAAACGCGAAAACGACCCGCTTTTGGAGCAACGAGCAATCTGCTCCTTACCTGGTGTAACTCTCCCGCCTCGGAGAGGATGCCAAGGGTCTGGGTCTGTGGCCAAAAACAAACATGCCGCGTTCCGCAAATAGCAGCACGCTTTAGCTAACTTCAGAAAATTCAATTTGTCGTCGTATCCGACCAGAACCGCCTTGACGTCCGAATCCAATGGACAGTCGTAAATGGTCACGTCCGGAGCATCAACCTCTCCTTCCACGAAGGGTACGCCGGCTTCCCGCAGCTCCTTGTACACTCCGTCGCCTCCAATAACAAACACCTTGCCTTGCACTTTGGCAACATCCCGCAGGTACACAGCGGAGCAGTACGCCGAACTAAAAATGTCTTCTTGCTCAACATCGGTAAAGCCCAGCCTGGTAAACTTCTGCAGGTAGTTCTCCCTAGGCCTGGTGCAATTGTTGGTTACGAAGAAGACCTTTTTGCCTTCTTTCTTCAGCAAACTCACGACCTCCGGCGCTCCTGCAACAGCCTTTTCCCCTTCCCAGATGACACCGTCGCAGTCGAAAAGGACGCTGCTTTTCGCGTCCAGGAGATCTCTTATCTGCGAGCCTCTGATTTTCTTACAACCCCTGCTGCTCACTGCGCCTGCCATAGTGCTCAGTACGTGCCTGTTTAATACGGGGAAAATTGCGTCACTCGGTGATAAGGTACCAATCGAAGGCGTTATTTCTGTTGCCTTTCACTCCTACCTTAATTCAGATACAGACAGTCCAAGGAAAAATATTCGCACATAAAAGCATCTTTGCAGGTCCTCAAAATACACAGCTGCCCTGTTCGGCACCATCAGTCCGTGGTGCACAACCCCCCGGCTCTATTCCTTGCAATGGTTTTGGCATCCAACTCCGCCCCCTTCACCTCTTCCTGCCAATGAATCGCCAGCATCACTCTTTTATCCGGACTTGAACGGTACAACATCTAGGTGGTGGTGGTCGCTTTCCTTTTCTAATACTATTTGTTCAGAGTCAATGAAACAATTACAACAGTAACTAAAACAAAGTGCGCAGAGCACATTATATGGCATACAGACTAGAAGATGCAAGGGAATTACAGCCTAGCTGTTATTGACGAGATCACAGTTTCAACAGAATATATGTCGTCAGCAATATTGACAATTCATTGTCACATGACTTTTTTTCTCTTTTTTTTTGTGCAACACAATGTTCCTCCTGAATAGCTAGACCATAAACACTGAAACCGTCCAGCATTGTCTCCAAAGTCCTCAGCCTGTCTCCCAATCAGAAGCTAACTAAAGTGTTTCAATCGCCTGGCTGGGAGCTTGGATTTTTGTAAAACATAAAATATGCGATTTTTTCAGAAATGCAACTTTATTTGCACAACACGTTACAACATTTTAGGTTATTAAATGTGCAAGAATACATTTATTTTGTGAAAGAAACTGTTATTCAACCATGATATCGTGACAATCCTATATCAAAAACATTGAGTAGACTGTGGTTACTGTAGCACTGTTAAAATAAATGCCACTTCAAAGATTGCAGTAATCACTACTGACTCAGTAACAGCCACTCAATCCAAATAGAATATCTTATTTAATTCCAACAAATTAACTGAAGGCAATGAGCCTACCAGTAGGTCTTTGGACTGCAGGAGGAAACCTGAGAACCCAGAGGAACCATACAAACACAGGGAAAACATACAAACTCTGTGCATATAGCACCCCAGGACTTAAACCCAGGGCTCCAAAGCTGCAATACAGCAATTCTTACCACTGTGCCGGCCTCATCATGTCAGCATTTCACTCAATTTTACAATTCATTCATAACTTTTCTTTCCATTCCTTAGGTTTCAGATTTCTCCTGTCCTGGCTGTACCAACTATCTTGGTATCCTGTTTTTATTTTCCATGAACAAAAATCTCATTTGAATTGATTTTCAACCCTTTAAATTAAAATCCATTAAATTCCACCCAAATTACATGTATACATCATAGTACCAGATCTCATCTTAAAGAGATACAAGTTGAATTTATCTTCAAGATCTTCCTTCTCTTGAGCAACCTGCTCTCTGCCTCCACACACTTCTCCTTAAATGAGCTGGTATTGCATTTTTATGACGTCTGCAAAACTTGCAAAAGGATTCAGACTTTTTCTATTTTATCCCATTTAGTGAAATAACAAAATGATGCCTACACATTTTGTAAACTTCATATTTTATTCAAATTCTGAATGCTCATACTGAAAAACTCTAAGGGTAAGGTAAGTTACAGTAAGTGTCAGCAAAAACTAAAGAGAAGAAAAAAAATATGTTAAATGCATAAGTATTTACACCTGTGAACTTAATACTAGGTGGAACCATCTTTGGCAGCAATTACAACCATAAGTCTTTTCGGGTGAGTCAGTACCAACTTTACACACTAGCTTGGTGCAATTTTAGACTATTCTTCTTGGCATTGCTCAAGATCTCTCAAGGTGCTTGGGAACTGCTTATGGGCAGCAGTTTTCAAGTCTTGCAACAGATTCTCAATTGGATTTAAGGCAGGACTTGAACTGGGCCACCCAGAACACTCACTTTCTTATTCCGAAGAGACTTGAGTGTAGCTTTGGCCTTTGTGCTATGTTGTTTTAGATCTGAAGCAGATTTTTCTGTAAGATTTGCCAGAACTTTGCTTCATCTATGTTCCTATCAGTATTTACAAGCTTCCCAGCCCCTGCTAATGAGAAACAGGACTAGAATACAGGGCTGCTACCACCATGTGCGACAGCAGGGTTGGTGTTTACTGATTGTTTTGTTGCAAACCCCATGTAGGACTTAAGATATTTATCTTAGATGATATGCACCCTCTGTGGAATTACTGGGATGTTGTTGAGCCATGAGTATTTTCTCCTACTCAGCCACTTAGTTCTGGAACTCTTTCAAAGTCACCACTGGCCTCATGGTGGCGTACCTAATCTAAAGTTTCCTCCTTTAGATCTGCTCAGTTTAGAAGGACAGCCTGATCTAGGCAGTCTTATGTTTTTCACTTCTTATTGGTCAAATTCACCCTACTCAACTATTAAGGGTCTTGAAAAAAATAGAATTCCCTAGTCCTAAACTGTACTTTTAAAACAATATCCATGAGTTGTTTTGAAAGCTCTTTGGTCTTCATGGTTGTTTCCCATTTACTATATTTCCCTAAAATATTCACTATTTTTATATTCATAAGGGAGCTTACAAAGACAAATGTTCTCATCATGAAAACCACTATTATTGCACAATGAGGCCACTTAACTATTTGTGTGGCTTGTTAAGTAAATGTTGTGCTCCTAGGTTAATTTAGACATGCAAAAGTAAAAGGTTTGAATACATATCAGATCATGGCTTTTCCATTTCTTTAAATGATCAATTTACTTATTTTTTTATTTTTGCTTTGAAGTGTGGAGTATGTTTTGCATATAACTAACTGCCAGTTCAAAGTGCTGCAAACTTTAAAACAACAAAATATGACTTTTGTATATCTGTATATATTTGTAAAATGTTTGATTTAAATCTCCTAGAAACAGAGACTGGAATACATACCACAGCTGTCACCACAACTATGAATTTTACAATATATCATGGCCCAATTGGGCGGCTTGTTGGGGCGTGGTTTGTTTTTGTTCCTTTGCGGCTTTGGGTCTTTGGTTTCATTTCTTGGGTTGTTTTTTTTTTTTTTTTTTCCTTTTTTTTTTTTTCGATGCTCCAGTTTCCTTATAGTCCAAAGACATACTGGCAGGTTAATAGGCTTATGGTCAAATGGAACATGGTGTGAATGTGCACGTTTGTCTCTGTGTGTCCCCGCGGATGGACTGGCGTTGTATCCACGCTTTGCATCCGTTGCTAGCCAGGATAGACTATGGCTTCCCCGCAACCACATACTGGACAAAGCGGTTAGAAAATGAACGAATGGATTCTTGTCCACATGCTAAATAAGCATCTCTTTATTATTTCTGCGATATAGTGGTTCTGAGCAGTCTGACTGAAGCAGATTTGTTTAAGTAATTCAGAGGCAATGTTTCATTGAGGTGATGTGGTGAATTAAATGAAAACATTTTTAATCAACTCATTGAATTGATCCAAGTCCCATAAATAAATTTGCTGAAAGAAATCAAAGTACCCCCACTTTAATATCCAGTTTCTGCTTATAATGACAAGTTAAAAAAAATCAAATTTAAAAAAGAACCGCTTTTTCAAATGGAAACATTTATTATATTTTCTATATATAGTAGCACTATCAGAATTATTTGCAATAAAAATAATCTAGTGTTTTAACTGTGCTAGATGAACAACAATTCACAAAAAAAGTTATGTTTTGTAAATACTGTTTTATATAAATCATTTTTAATTTGCCAAGAAGGGAAAAAAAATCCTGAATTAAATAGGCTTTATTTTAATCTGCAGAAAAACAACAAACATGTTTTATATATCTAGCAGTTAATCAAAAAAAGAAATAAAGTACACAAATAAGTGCCTTTGGCTGGTATACGCTGAAGAATCCAGGTTCATTCTGGTCCGCCACGCTGTAAGAGAAAAGACACGTGTGACACTCATTTTAGCAAGTTTCCATCACAATAATCATAATGGGATCAGACATTAATAAGATGTAGAAGGGTGTTTCAGCCATCGTTGAATCTAGAAACACCTTTCCAAATGATGTCTGGTGTTGTTCAATGTACATTTCTAAATATTTGAAACCTTATCCGAGGTCTTATCTATTTGCACGTTACAGTACCAAGATAATCTGCAGCCCCTCACCTGGATGTAATCCATCTCTTCTGTAGCTATTGTCCTCCTGCGGTATCGCTGGGGGAATTCTCGGATAGTGGCTGCAGTGTCCGGAGGGCCTGGTTTGTGGCTTGGTGGGCCTGTGCTCTGTGTTCCTGGTGGTCTAGATGGAGAACTTAATGACTGTGGTGAATTATGGGTCCCAGGGGATGGTGATGGGGTAGCCACCATCGTCTTAAGTGCTTCCTGCACTAAAATCAAGAATAAAACAATTGTAGAAGATACAAATACATCACTAAAGAAGGTTCAACAGCTGAAACATTGTTTCTTCTATTTTTTTTTATTGTGGAATCACCTGTTTCTTTGCAGCACACTGACACAGCCCCCACCCCCCACAACATATACATACACTCAAGATATGATCATGAGATTAATGCCAATGAAAAGTACAATACAGTTTAATGCCTGGAGTTATCCAAAAGTACTTTTGATTATACAAAACGTAAGCACATCAAGTTTAATGCAGTGATTAATTAGTTTTAGGATGTTCACTTTCAGAGAGTAAATGTTAGTACTGTATTTGGATGCATATTCCGAGCATGCTGCGTTCCACAAACGTTGTGTAATCCTTTGAAATTCTTTGCTTTGAGTTCCTGTCTGCTCTTGCAATGTTCAAGATTCCTACTACAATTTTTTCTTCAGCATATAAAATGCATGCCCAACTAGATTTAAATCTGTAAACGTACTTGGCCACACTCAGACTTTCAATTTCTATCTCCTGATGAACTCCCTAGTTTCACTGTGCATATCAGGCTATCACCATACTGCCTGTTGAAGTGCCAGCTAAGATGTTTTTCTTCTATACAAGCAGACAAAATGTTCCTGTAAACATCACAACTTCCTCTGCTGCAGGCATCATTAGTTAGATCAATTAACACAAGAGAGCCTGTTCCAGAGGCAGCCATGTACGCTAATGTTTTCCACCTTTGGTGTTCACAACCATTTCTAATATGATCAATGTATGCATGGAATTACCCAGAAATGAACTGTATATTATATGGTTCTTACTCATTTAAATCTTAAGGCCAACAATACAAATTGTTTAGCTGCAAGGCAAAAATACAGCTTGCTGTCCCAATACCTTTGGAGGGCACTGTATGCTGAATGTTTTTTAATTGTATATACTCTTTATATACTATTTATATGGAAGCTTTAACATAGTTTTAAAAATGTATATAGCATTTTTAATCAATAATCAAGTAATAAATCAAGATCACTTAATTACATCCCCTACATTGCCATTACACAGAAGCATTCCTGAACACTTTAAACATTTTAGATATTTACTCACTAACCCTCAGGTCTTGGTATATTCCGTCGATCGGGGAATTTGATTAAAGGGGCATGAGGCCGTACTGCCTGAAAGACAAAGGCAAAGTCTTATTGCAAATCCATGTGCATGTCGTTTCTAAAAAGTTCAAATGTTCCCAATCTTTCAAGTGAAAAGAACTAGACAATTTACTTGCAGATTAATGCACTGGAACATTTTGAATTTCAAAAGTAGGTATTTTGGAAATGCAACATTAACAGAATTATGACTTTACATCCAAACTCTTAAATTAACTACTTATGGTTTGAATGGCTAGAATACTTCATATGTAATGGAAAAAATCCCTGCCATCGCAACCCATATTTTACAATTGTGAATGCACTGCATGTTAAAATAGTGCATTATTTCTCCCACCCTAAGTGTGTCCAAAACACCATTTCAATTAGACATTCAATTAGACAACGTCTTATTTGTTATTTCATTAGCAGGACAGAATAGGGGCTGTACCTGTGAAGAAGATTATTTAGTCACATTAATTCAGTGTCCTTTTGTAAGAAATGTTACTCATCAGCTCGCTATGGTAAGAGAGAATTATTTTAAATGCCACTTATCTGGTTAAACAAGTTATTATTTTAAAATGTTAAAGCTGTTATGTACGATGGGATAAAGAGACAAATATTGGAAAAACGTAAACCATTGGTTCGTGGACTGTTAATTTTTGTCCCCAGCTGAAGATTGCTGCGAGCTCCAGTTCTGTTTTCCCAATCTTCACTTGCAAGGACACTGAAAACTTAAGTCGTAACTACACTGATATATTCCAAATAAGAAGTAATAAAACTGCCGCATCCAAAACGGACACGCTTCATTGAACATTTCCTGTACATGTAGAGAAGAAAATAAACATACTACCCCATGTTCTTTATGAAAGTGGAATATTTACCTGCACGACCCTACTGGCAGCTGCCATCTTGCTTCCCATGGTGACCTTCTGAAACTTGAACAGGAAGTACTCGGGACTTCTGGTCGATGTAGTTTTCCAGGCATATCGAAAGAGGGGTGATGACTTCTGAAGTGAAACTGGGGAACTCTGGGGGAAAGTCACCTCACGAGACAGGCAAATAGCATGCATAATCTCGTTATTCATTGTATATTTGTCATATCATTTTCCAAACCGCTTTATACCACACGGTGTTTATATTTGTAGCACTAATAAAAAACTCAGACACTTTTATACATTTGCTAAAAGCACGGTTATATATAATAATATATAAGTCACCTGAAGAAGGCTCCACGGCCGAAACGTTGTGTTCTCTTTCTTCTTTTT